CGGGTTCTACCCGGGTGACTCATGGGTCCACCCGCGGGTGACCCGGGTGGCGTTTTTTTTGACGGGTCCAATCACTAGTCAAGAGATAAGTATCTGTTAAAAATTTTTGAAAAAATTTAAATATAACGCAAGAATCTTGGTAACCGATTTGATTTTATACAGTACACGCATATAAACAAATTATTAATAATTAATTTCTAGCTTTGGGTATTAATCTTTTTGCACCAGATTATATAAAATTTTAAATTTACTATATATATGAAGTTTATTAAAATTTATCTAGTTACAGCGTTAAAAGTTTTAAATTTTAATTTAACTAAATGATAAAAACCATAGTTTAACTTAAACTTTTAATAAAATTAAAATAAATAAAATAAAAATTATTAAACTTGAATAAATACAACACCTTTTTTAAATACAGCTTCAAACTCTAATCCAAATATCGATATATAACACTACAGTATCAAAAGTTTGGTTTTTATAAGCTATGTTTAAAAAGGTGTAACTGTACTTAAATAAAGTAATAAACAATACTAATAAAGCTATTTTCTATTTATCCGATAAATAAACATGCTAAGTGTATTAATAGAATAACTTTAAGACCCCTTGGTTACTTACTATTCAAATTGACACTACCCTACTGCATATTTTAAGGATGAAACGGGAGGTACAAGTTTGCCGAATTACAGTATTAACGCTAAGCATTTTTTCTTTTTCAGAGTTTCAAGCTCTAAAATTATTGTATATACTGTATATACAGTAACATATCCAAATATTATAACCTTTATTTTTAGAGTTTAATAAATAAGTCGTTACAAAATACTAGGATATGCGTAGCATTACGCAACCAATCACACCTACACCCTAACCAAGTGATCTGGTTGGTCACACGCTGTTGTAAAGTTTTATCTTCTAAGCAGTGTTTAAGATACTTTCGCACAATGAGTAATATCGTCTGTTTGATACAAGAAGCATCTTAATTTTATACAACACTTGTGATAAATCAACTGTAAATGAATCCAACCAGAAAAGGTTATCCTAATCCCAGCGCTACAAACTTCAGTTGAATCTAAGACTAATTTGATTGACATAAATTTAAAAAAAAAAAAAAAAACTAAGAATTCAAAGTTTTATTGTAAATGAATTAAATATTCGGTTTTAAATGGATTAAGTCATATCGTATAATATAATTTAAATATTATTCCTAAACAATAAAAAGAAGTAATTAAAAATATTACCAAGAAATATATAAAAAAAAAAATTAAAAAAAAAATCTTGATTTTTTATAAAGATTTTATATACTCACAAGCCTATCTTTGCCCTTGTTTTTTCCTGTCGAGTTATCCAGCGAACCACGCCTAATTTCAAGTGGAATTATGCTTTCTCTTCGTCGTTCAGTCTGACATACTGTACACTTTGTTTCCGATTCATCTTCAGTACTGACATTTGCTTCAGTTTCAAGACATCTACGATGATATCCGTGACCACAGCGGAAAAGTAGTAAGTCATTTTCTTGAACCGTTGGAGACGTTGGTTGTTGCTTGGGGGATGATGGTAATGGAAATAGAGAGTTTTGTGAGGTTGAAGCTTCATCAGACTGGTCTAATACCGATTGAAGATCACCTTGATCTTCTGGTAGTTCCATGTTCGTTATGGCATGTTCGATATCGTAAGGAGTTTCTTCTTCGGATGTTATGGCATCTGCAATATTGGCAGGGTTGGATATAGTTGATGAATGGGTCGTTTCTTTTTCGGATGAACCTCTACCAGGTGCTGTGCGGAGGGTCAGTGGGTTCATGTCCGTTCCCCAGAACTGGCCCCCACACACCTCACACGTCCCCCTACGAGGACGCCAGCCTTTACCACGCTGTCGTACAACACCTGCTACACCCCTGAACAAGTCCTTTTCAAATAGTCGGTTGGTCATAGCCAGCAACTGACCTTCATATTTATATGTATCAATCATTCCTGCAAAAATGTCCCGAAAGTCCGAGACGGTACTATTTCTTTTGGCTTGTGATTGTATAAATCGAAGCAATAGTCTTGGGAAAGAAACGTAAGGCGATGATGTTGCCAAAAGTAGAGATCTCACGATAGATTGAACGTACGATTTAAATGTTGTGACCAGATGATTAGCAATGTGAGGTGGTATGGCTGATCTAGGCATTTCAAATGAAGATAGCTGTCCATTAGCTAAAAGTTTTTCTGACATCATCGTAGGAATCGGTGGTATTACACTTGAAGATACGGCTTTAGTGGCATCCAAAAATGTATCTAAAAGTTTGAACCATAATAACTCTGTTTCACTTTCATTAGCACGGCTCATTTGAGGTAACGCTAAAACTTCAGAACCATTAGTCAATGTTGCACGTCGATAACTATTCTCACATAAAAGAATTCCAATTTTGAGAACACCTTTCAATTTCATTAAAGATGTTTCAATCTTGGTTTTTTCAATTAATGTCCATTGGTCATCCCTTGAATCTTTTTTCTCTTCAACCAATGCAAGAATGTCCAGCCTTTTTTCTTGGACAATTTCTAAAATTTTATCAAGTGCACCCATGGCATTGCCACTTTTTTCTAAAATCCATACCACCGCATCGACAATACCAGCGGATTCGCAAATAGGTAAAACTTTTTCTAATCGATAGGCATCTTGATGAGTTTGTAAATAATGGTATACACCAGTGGGATCAAATTTACATAGGAGAGAAATATATAGTTCATGAATATCTGGTGTAATTATTGACGGATCTAATGATGATTCGGTCGAGATTACTTGTTCTTCGACCATTTGTATCCTAGCATGTTCCCCAATTATGGCATCGTCCTGCGATGGCTCTAAAAGTCCTCTTAAATATGTGAAAAGACGGGCTGAAGACGATCCCAAGCTTTTAATTACGGTTTGATGATCACCATCAAAGTACATTTTTATTATTGAAGCTGTTTGTTCACCATCGATATCAACAATTTCTTCAATGTGTGACATAATTGTTTCTAAGACTTCCAGATGTTGTTTTTCGGTAAGTTTACTACAAGGATTCAACAATCCTCTTATACAATCGAAAACTTCAATTTTTCGATCTGGATCTTTTAAATAAGTCGTAATTAATAATCCGTATTTTTTCTCAGCTTTATATACATGTTCTAAAACTCTCCAAAACCCAGCATCTTCATATAATAAGACCATTCTACTTTCATCTTGAGGTGTATAAATAGACAACAGACATTCCACAGAAAGCTGTCGCTCTTCCCGTGTACGTAGATCATTGTCGTTGCTGAGTTTTATTAACAAACTTTGTATTGAAGATGGTGAAAGTAGAAGGAATTGTGGATATTTTGATAGATTACGAGCCACAAAGCAGTATAGGTATGACATATCCGTTTGTGTGAATTCCGAGGTCTCCGGAAATCCGGACGTCATTACTTCGAGCAATATATTGACTAATAATTGCCGATTAATAATTTTTCCTGGTATTTCCTCCTCATAATAATCATCACCGTTCATAATAATTTCAACACCATTCAAATAAGAATCCTCAAATGCAATTTCTAAAGCTTGTAGAAAAGCTTTTGTGTCAAATCGTAAGAATAGTCGAAGGTATGGATAGGTAGGCTCAGGTCCATTTATTTCATCTTCGGCAGTCAGTATTAGTTTACCACCTTGCCTAGGCCATACCACACATCGACCAGAAAATATAAAGGAATATAGAGTCGTTCGAGCTTCATTGGCTTCTACTTCGTTAAGCGGTGCACCATTTGGATACGTATGTCCAGTTAAGATATTACTCATATACGTGTAAAATTTACGAGCGTTCATTTTCATAGTCTCTAAATCCTCACCATCGAGGATATTTGGTTCAATTAGACTATTGTTAGAACCACTTGAGATAGAAAATCGATTCTTCTTCTTTTTTCTTTTTTCTAAAATTACAATTTTTCTAATAACTGCGAGAAGTTCAACCGCTGGACTCACATAATCAACCATAGATCGATTCCAAACATAGGTTAAAGCGTCGTAGAGTTTTTCGCTACGACAAAGTTTAACCACTTGATCAATGTCCAAGCATTGTGGATTAATGTGCCATATGCATTCTTCTACTCGTTGAAGCATACCACGATTGCGATAATGAGTGACAAGGTCTTTCATTACTTCCGGTGGAAGGTCTGTTATTTTATCTTCAAGAATATACGGTTCTAGAACTTCAAGCAGTATTCCTTTAGCATGGTGTTGAAATTATTATGAACGGTGATGATT